TGACATGATATCACATGCGATTGTCTTCTGACTGTAGACACTCCAATAGAGCTTGAGAAGCATACAGCACTTTTTGATCTATAAAATTTGTAAAGATTTGCAGGTTAAAGAAACCACAGTTGCCGCAGGGCTTGCTGCAGATGAAAAGTTTAAAAAGTGTATTTGTATATAGAGAGACATAGGTAACTAGACAGAATAAACAGAGATACGTTGAACTCTGCAGCAGCTGCAAAGGAGCTGCGCGCTACATACGCAGCTGGTGTGAAAGGCAAACGCCTGCGTGCTGCTTCTGCTCGTCATACGCGCTGCTCACGCTCTGCTCACGCGCTGCTGACGCTTGCGGTGTGAAACAGGCGTTACAATGGTGGTGTTTAATAGCTGTGAATGACACTGAGCACCTTCGATATATTAAGTGTGTTTCTCTGCTTGTGAGAAAAGTTGACGAACATTGATTTGTCATATTTAATTTTTTCATTCACACCTATGTTGGTGTTTTTTTCTGATACAATGATACAGTGTGTATGTTAGTACTTTAAAACATTTGTGTATAACACTATAAATTAATGAAATATAGAAATTTTAAAAAGAGCAGAAAATGTATAAAGAGCTTAATTTCAACTCAAACAGCTGCATTTTCAATACATCACCTGCTGCTTTCTCTCTCTCTCTCTCTCTCTCTCTCTCTCTCTCTCTCTCTCTCTCTCTCTCTCTCTGAATTTAACAGATGGCAACCAATGGAATATGGCAATGCTTAAATTGTATGCAGTGAATTAAAATGTACACATTTATTAATTTTCATTCATCATTCATTTTCTTGTCGGCTTAGTCCCTTTATTAATCCGGCGTCGCCACAGCAGAATGAACCGCCAACTTATCCAGCACATTTTATGCAGTGGATGCCCTTCCAGCTGCAACCCATCTCTGGAATACATCCTCACACATGCACACACACACTACGGACAATTTAGCCTACCCAATTCACCTGTACCGAACCTCCAAACTCCACAAAGAAACGCCAACTTAGCCGAGGTTTGAACTAGCGACCTTCTTGCTGTGAGGCGACAGCACTACCTACTGTGCCACTGCGTCGCCCCTTAATTGTCCTCAGTTGTTTTATTTTGAAAATCATGTGTGCACTCCACAGTCTTGTTTATGAACCCTAAGCTTGAGCTGGAGTAGCTTCAGCCTTCTTGGCCTTGGTCTTCTTCACAACCCTCTTCTTGGGATTCAGCATCTTGACCTTGACATCAGGGTTGTGTGCCATGATAGCACGGCGACGGGCTGTCTTGGGGTATGGGTTGAGCTTCATCATGATTCTGAGGTTCTTCAGACGATTCTTCTTGAACAGTCTGCGATTAATCTTGTGGTTTGCTGGACCAATAGCCTTCTGGACCTCCTCACTCTTGATGATTCTTTGCAGATCTGTGATGCTCATTTTGAGCATGGGGGAGTTGTGGTCCACTTAAAGGGAGGAAGCTTTGCGCCAAGTGCCGTAGAGGTCATCCAGTTTGCAGAAAGTGCCCTCTGTCCAAATGCAGAATGTGACCACCTGGAGCGAGTTTCAACACGTCCAGTCTGCTTACAGACTGCAGTGTGATGCCAGGGATATTTCTGAAAGCTTGTGTCACTCGGTTGTCTTCATTGTAGATGATGCATGGTCCCTTACGCTGGATACGCCTTCGGTTCCTCATCTTACCGTTACCGGCATGCATACACTGAGAGGCATAAACCTTTTTAATGTCGTTACATGCATTCAGCTTCTTCAACAGAAGCGCAGCTTTCTTTGTCTTCTTGTATCCTTCAACTTTATTATCAACAACGGGTGGGACCTCAGGAATCTCCTTAATGCTGTGAACTTTGGCCATGACAAGGAATGGCAGAGCAGAAGCAGCCTGGGCAGAGCACTTGGCATAACGCTTCTGATTAACATTGACCCTGTGATGCCAACGACGCTAGGTCTTCGTGGGAGCAAACATGTGTCCACCACAACACATTTTCGAAAGCATCCAGGCTGGAGCGATGAGTACCAATCATCACGCACACGGCGGATACGGGTAACAGCTTTCCCAGATAGCAAAATTCATGTGGCTCAAATCCAGCCCACATACCACATGCAATGATGGCAATAAGGCGATCCACTCCTGTTTGCTAGATATGGGCCACAGTTAAGCCATAGACATTCCACATGTCAGCCAGAATTCAACCAAATGAACCAGAACTGAGCCTATTCTGGGCCACAGTTTGCTTTTATTCTGGCCTAGATCCGGCCCACAACTTACACTTGCTGGGTGTGGCAGTAGAGTACAACCAGTACAAAAATCCCAGCATGCATTCCAGTATGAATACATTCTTTAGCTTATTGATGGTCCAGTTTTTATTATTTGCTGTTGATTCGGCTGTTTATGCTGACAATGTTGATTTTGTCACTTTTAGTCTCCTTATTGTGATGTTTGTGAGTTTTGTTCATTTTGTCAATTGTCACCATTGTTGAGGTTCATATGCTGATTATTGATGTCTCTGTGAGCAGAAGTTGTACCATATATATTTTTTTAGCTTATAAACCTTCAAATTATGTGGCATGTGCGAGCACGTTATCACGTTACGTTTATTAATGGATTAAAACATTGGTTAACATCAGTGAATTATAATATTTCATCACAGATTGTGCCTCACCTAATTTTTTTTTCTTACTTGGCTTGTTTGCTGTAGTGAATAAACTTTTCAAGCAAAGTTCTTAAAAGTTACAGCAAACAGGGCCGGAGCAAGCTGAACTGCCGCTCTAGGCAAAGGACGGTCGCGCCACTCTCAACCCTCAAGTGAAAGCGCAGGGTATAATGCATCACTAGACGCGGATATAACTGAGGGCGCGGGTGGTGAGGGTTGTGTCGCGGACGCCGCCCTCTCTAGTCTGCCGCCCTAGACGCGGATATAACGGCCGCGGGTGGTGAGGGTAGTGTCGCGGACGCCGCCCTCTCTAGTCTGCCGCCCTAGACGCGGATATAACGGCCGCGGGTGGTGAGGGTAGTGTCGCGGACGCCGCCCTCTCTAGTCTGCCGCCCTAGACGCGGATATAACGGCCGCGGGTGGTGAGGGTAGTGTCGCAGACGCCGCCCTCTCTAGTCTGCCACCCTAGACGCGGATATAACGGCCGCGGGTGGTGAGGGTAGTGTCGCAGATGCCGCCCTCTCTAGTCTGCCACCCTAGACGCGGATATAACGGCCGTGGGTGGTGAGGGTAGTGTCGCAGACGCCGCCCTCTCTAGTCTGCCACCCTAGACGTGGATATAACGGGCGTGGGTGGTGAGGGTAGTGTTGCGGACGCCGCCCTCTCTAGTCTGCCGCCCTAGACGCGGATATAACGGGCGTGGGTGGTGAGGGTAGTGTTGCGGACGCCGCCCTCTCTAGTCTGCCACCCTAGACGCGGATATAACGGCCGCGGGTGGTGAGGGTAGTGTCGCAGACGCCGCCCTCTCTAGTCTGCCACCCTAGACGTGAATATAACGGCCGCGGGTGGTGAGGGTAGTGTCACAGACGCCGCCCTCTCTAGTCTGCCACCCTAGACGCGGATATAACGGCCGCGGTTGGTGAGGGTAGTGTCGCGGACGCCGCCCTCTCTAGTCTGCCGCCCTAGACGCGGATATAACGGCCGCGGGTGGTGAGGGTAGCGTCGGCAACGCCGCCCTCTATATTTTGCTACCTTAGCCGGCCGCCTCGGTCACCTCTATGGACGCGCCGGCCCTGACAGCAGCCCAATAAAAAATTCATATTAAGAGGTTCAGGGCTATGAGCCCAACTAAAGCAAACACTTTTCTCCATGATGGTGACTTTAGTCTATGGGGTCCACGTTTGTTTTAAGATAACTAGCCAAAGCCAAAGGTGCCAAATATTTGAGAGGGGTCTGGCTGCAGACTCCGTGCAGTGCAATCTGGCCTGCATCCAACCCTTTTTAATGCTCTCACCTATCCCCACCCGTCACAGTGACGTCACTAACTCCATTGAGTGCATTGGGTCTGACATTGCATCGCTGAGTGATGCAATCTCAGCTTGCATCATAAAGGTTGCATCCAGATACTATTGAAATATTTGTCAAAAGTGGCCTACATTAGTTTTAGGATAGCTGGGCCGATTATTAGCCAAAAGTGGGCCACATATGTTTAAAGATAACTGGGCTACATTTGCCATATCTTCTCTGGGCCACAATTGGCTTACAACCGCAATAGCCAGAGCTTACTGTGTCAAATATTTGACAAAAGTGGCCAACACTTGTCTTAAGATAACTGGGCCACATTTGCACTTACATGTGTGAGCTATTTTAGGTTTAGATCCAGATTACCCCTAAATGACCATGCTACATTTGTCCTCCATCATTTTGGCTAAATTTATCATTTACCATGTGGCCCATATTTGTATGCTATCTGGGCGTCCTGTGAGCCAGGACTCAGTGCTAGTCTGGTGAACAGCCAGTTCGCTGACAGCATAGGGCTAGCACTTGTTCTTGCGCATGTTGGTGTGCACAAACTTCACAATATCAGGGTGAATTATGGGAGCCCTGAACACTGCTGCCATAACCACATTTTTCCAGATGTCCCTCTTTCTCGGAGTAGACTGAGACGGTCAGGCACAAGCCATTATTGTAAGTTTTTAACGGCTCGCCAGGAACCATGCTCCTAACTCGATGGCGGCCATGGAAGAAATCTCTCTCTCTCTCTCTCTCTCTCTCTTTGTCGCTTGATTCTTTTTTTGATTTTTAAGCAGTACAACCTTATTATTATCCACCAGTGCAAAAATGTTAATAGCTTTACCTAATTCAACATTAAGTCAAATAATAAAAAACCATTAAACTGATTTAAAAACTGCAAGTGTTCCTCATTTCCCATATCATAATTGTCCACTGGAGGGCAGTGACACTTGAGGCATGATGCATCAGGCACAGTGAAGGATTTAGCTGTTAGCATGAGTGCTTTCAATATAACACGTGGAGGAAAACAGTTTGACAGCATCCAGCTTTTGCACAATATTTTGTCTCATTTATACACTTAAAGTAGATTTAAGAACAAATAGGGCCCAGTAGGCCAACATTGCTCTCTGTTCATCCTTGCACTGGATCAGAGTTGCCACTCATACTGGATCACCACTATGAAGAGCTTCTGATGGATTTTTCTATATTACTGCAAGACGAGAGAAAAACAACATTGAATATTTTTATTTTAATCCTACTTACATGATATTAATAAAAGAGTGATTTTTCTATATTCACAGTACTATAAATAGAGTTTTTACCGCTGTCAGTGACTCTGCCATTCACTTGAGTTGGAGTTTTAATATGGAACAAAATCAATGCCTAAAGTCTTGAATTAAAAAGCTTGTTGAATATCACAAACTGAAAAAAATAATACACCGTATTAACAAGTTCTTGCATTTTAATGACTTGAATTCCAGGGTTTGTATTTTTAGGTCCTGAAATTTAACATATTTGTATATTTAAGCTTTGAATATTTCAACGAAAAATATTTCAAACACGTTTTCATACTTAAAAATTCAATAATTCATATTCAATTTTCAGATTTCACTTACAAAATATTCAATACCCTTTAAAAATACGATGTATAATATTCAAAAGGTAATTTTCAGTTCATTTTATTTCAGTTCAAATATTCGCTTCCATAAATTCAGTGGATCAAATTCGACTGTTAAAATTCAACATTTCATCCGGGAACTGCAGGAAAAGCAATAGACTGCAGATTGAAGATCGCCAGCTGCTCTAGCTTTCACCAGCAGGTGGAGATGGAATAATGTAAGATTTTTAACCCAGTAAACAGGCGAGAAAAAGCCTATTAAAGGCACAAAAGTAGCATTTAATATTAATATCAATGCCTTGGACATTATAAATGATAAAAAGTATGAGTAAAATGAGTAAATGAGGTTTTAGTCATCTATATTTGCCCTTATGTAACGGAAGCCAGCTGGTGATCGCGTAAATCTCAGTTCTCGGATCCAGTGACAGACGTTGTTCTGCAATCTTATCGGAGCTTGCCTCCCATGCCGGCTCGCTCCCTGCTCGGACCGGTGCTGTTACTTGCACATAACCGCCTTTTGATGAATATGATGTTATACATTGTCTATCTTTATTGACTCTTTCTTCCATAGACGCGAAGTATTATATTGACAGCTAAAGAATATAAACGTAAGAGAAACAGGAGAGGAAACATTATAATAATACAAAATAGATAAACATTGACAGGGCTAAGAACAATTACTAACAAAGATATTCAAAAGCAGAGAGATTTTATGAGAATGTCACACAAAACAGTTTACTTGGAACTGTTAAACAGTGTTCAGGTATGATTTAAGGTTGGTTATGGATGGGGCGTGTAATTTAAAATAATTTAACATAACGTGCGAATGCATTAAAGGAGCGTCTTCAATTATTATTTAAACGCAGCTATGTCAGTTGGGATAGGTTATATAATTTCATTATTTAAATTATGATTGTTGATATTAATATTTTATGACATGTATTTGGGCTATTGCGCTTAAATAAGTCATCCGTGATTCTAAATTAATATTTCTATTTATCCTTTTTATCACTCTGCCTGTCTTTCTCTTCTTTTTTCTAATTATTGGGGTTCTGCCATGGTTAAACGTTTGCAAAATGTCTTAGTTTGTCCAGAATATTGTTTTATTGTTATGTAGCCTATAGGCGAGAAAAATGTATTAACGCAAATGTGGCAATGTCGAAGCCAATTATAAGTAATAAAATGAGTCGCCTGTGGTTTGATAATAGGCAGTTATAACTGACTTTAATTTGTTTTCAGTATTAAATGAGAAAACCATTATTTATAACTTTTCAGCAACCGTTTGTATTTTATGATTAGCAATGTTGATCTTTTTTGCAGTTATTAAACATATAAACTTATTTAAACTGGTTTAAATTTAATATAGTTGTCACTTCAGCTAGTTTCATAAGATTAATGTTTAGAATGCGTGGTTTGACATGCGTGGTTGAGTGGTTTCTGCAAATCATGGGATTATTGCTGAGCTTTAATCGCCATCTACTGGAGAGAATGTATTTGCTCATTTATTCTATTAACTCTTTTCTGCAAGTGTATTTTATGATTTCACAAAGTCAAACCATTATTTTTTTATTTTATATTTTGAGATGATCATTTAAATAAACAATTGCTAGGGTAGCTAATAGTTTCTTTTTTCTTGTTTTAAAAAAAAAATCATTAGCCTATAAAATCATAATTTTTGTTTGACAAAGTTATTGGTTTAGGATTCTGGATGCATTTTTGCTAAATGAGTGTTGGATACTCTCACACTAGTTAAATCAATTATATTATCAGAAATGACAGATATAAGAAATCCATTAATATTCATCACTCTTTTTACAATTATACAAGCAATTTCGCGCCGACGTCAGCTCCACTTTCGGAAATGGTAAACAGCGAGGTATTATTCATATAATCCCAAGCATGACATGTCATGATAATCGAAACACTCTTGTAGGCTATTCTTATGCTTGGCCAAATGTCATGACTTTCACTTTTATTTTACATTATTATGCACAAGCCCAGATATTATCTGAAACTTTGGAAGAATTCCTATCATATGGGCAGCCATGCAGCATCTCTTAACCAGTTTGATATGCGGCGCTGGCTCTGACCGGCCACCGGAGCTCGCGGCCACTCGTTCGTCTTTGTCGTGAGCAAGCCGCACCGCACATGCATAAAAACGTCAATCATTTCATTCATTCATCAATTCATTCATTTTCCTTCTGCTTCGTCTCTATTTTAGTGGAAAAGCAATATTCAGTACAAACTAAAGACATTTTGCAAACGTAACCGTGGCAGAACCACAAAAAAATAGGAAAAAAGAAGAGAAAGACGATATCAAAGTGATAGCTACAAAGGATAAATAGAAATATTAATTTAGAATCACGGATGACTTATTTAAGCGCAATAGCCCAAATACATGTCATAAAATATTAATATCAACAATCATAATTTAAATAATGAAATTATATAACCTATCCCAATACTGACATAGCTGCGTTTAAATAATAACTGAAGACGCTCCTTTAATGCATTCGCACGTTATGTTAAATTATTTTAAATTACACGCCCCATCCATAACCAGCCTTAAATCATACCTGAACACTGTTTAACAGTTCCAAGTAAACTGTTTTGTGTGACATTCTCATAAAATCTCTCTGCTTTTGAATATCTTTGTTCGTAATTGTTCTTAGCCCTGTCAATGTTTATCTATTTTGTATTATTATAATGTTTCCTCTCCTGTTTCTCTTACGTTTATATTCTTTAGCTGTCAATATAATACTTTGCGTCTATGGAAGAAAGAGTCAATAAAGATAGACAATGTATAACATCATATTCATTTTACTCATACTTTTTATCATTTATAATGTCCAAGGCATTGATATTAATATTAAATGCTACTTTTGTGCCTTTAATAGGCTTTTTCTCGCCTGTTTACTGGGTTAAAAATCTTACATTATTCTATCTCCACCTGCTGGTGAAAGCTAGAGCAGCTGGCGATCTTCAATCTGCAGTCTATTGCTTTTCCTGCAGTTCCCGGATGAAATGTTGAATTTTAACAGTCGAATTTGATCCACTGAATTTATGGAAGCGAATATTTGAACTGAAATAAAATGAACTGAAAATTACCTTTTGAATATTATACATCGTATTTTTAAAGGGTATTGAATATTTTGTAAGTGAAATCTGAAAATTGAATATGAATTATTGAATTTTTAAGTATGAAAACGTGTTTGAAATATTTTTCGTTGAAATATTCAAAGCTTAAATATACAGATATGTTAAATTTCAGGACCTAAAAATACAAACCCTGGAATTCAAGTCATTAAAATGCAAGAACTTGTTAATACAGTGTATTATTTTTTTCAGTTTGTGATATTCAACAAGCTTTTTAATTCAAGACTTTAGGCATTGATTTTGTTCCATATTTAACATCTTTCTGTAAAGAAATTAATAAACCAGGTTAATTTTCTTTCATTGAGTGTGTTTAAGATGAATTTAGACTTAATGAAACACACACACACACATCTCACCTGTGCTCCTGCGTCACTCTTACAAGTCCTCTTCATGATTTCTTGCAGACGCTAAAAATGTAAACACAAGCGTTAAACCAACAGTACTGAACTAAAATCTCAAATACAATTGAAGACAAAATTTTGAGCCCTCCTGTGAATTTTAAATCTGCTAAAAAAAATTTCATCTGCTAAAAGTGCAATATTTAACAATTTTTAAAAAATTCATTCATTCATATTCCTTCAGTTTAGTCCCTTTATTTATCAGAGGTCACCACAACAGAATGAACCGCCAACTTATCCAGCATATGTTTTACACATTGGATGCCCTTCCAGCTGCAAAGCAGTACTGGGAAACATCCATAGATACTCATTCACACACACTTAGAGCAGGCAAACTCCACACAGAAATGCCAACTGACCCAGCCGGGACTCGAACCAGCAACCTTCTTTCTTTGAGGCGACAGTGCTAACCACTGAGCCACCGTAATGCCAGATTAGAGGTCTGCATTCCCGCGACTGTACCAGATTTCGTGCGGCGTGGGAATAAATTTCCGAATAAAGCATGGGAGCGGTCGGTAACTGGTGTAATTTAAACGGGAGCGGGCGGTCTAACAATATCGCTCCTGAGCGAGCCAGCACACGTATGTGTGTGTGTGTGAATGAGAGAGCGTGATGCTGTGTTTAGCTTGATTGGTGAACTTTTGTTTTACCTTCTTTCTTTCCTAGTGTTCCAGCTCCTCTTTCTGGAAGTGTTTCTCTCGTTCGATCCTCTGTTTCTCTGCTTCTTCTCAGGCTTCGGATTCAGCCTCTTCTCGCTGCCAAAGACACATAAAACCACATCATACATTCATTTATTACACATCTCTAAAATGTCTAAAAGTCTAGTGCCATATCACATATGGGACCCCACGTTTGGCTGGTTAGTGTGGTCAAATAATGTCGTTTGACCATGTCCAGTCAGCTGCTTCAATCATCTTAAACAGTGGTTATCAGCTGATAGATATGGGCCAGTAGGGGCCTTCCGAGCAGTAAATGTCACTCAGAAGGCTGTTATCATCCATTCACATTGTTAATCAGCTATACTAATAGAGAAGACTCCAGATCTGTTTTTACATTACTGTGACAGTTAAGGTAGGGGTAGGCATTAATAAAATATAATTATTGGGAAATTTAATAAATAATATAAATAATTCTCGTTAACTTCCGGCTGCAGCCGTTTGTGATCTAAAGCTAATTAACCATGTGGATGGATGATAACAGCTTTCTGAGCCTACCAGTAGGTGCAGAAGGCACCTAATAGCCCATATCTATTAGCTGATGACCACTGATAATGCCCATTCAATCGATAACATTTGAATCAGCTGGTTCAGACTACTGTGAGAAAAATCATGACATCTGTTATGAAGGCGTTATACATGTTACTGACAGAAATGAAAACTATTATTAAAATATAAGTACTAGATGAAATATTACCTGTTAAAAGTGACAACTAAAAAAAATTAATTATACAAAATAAAAATTAAATGTTAAAAAAAAAAAAAATATATATATATATATATATATATATATATATATATATATATATATAACAAAAAGTTAGCTGTTATTTAATTATAAAATTACAAAAATTTTAAAAACTATATTTTATTTAAAAATATAGACCTACACATACATAAATAAATACTAAAACTAACTAAATAAAGCTATATAGAAATATTAAAAGAATTTATAATATGTGTAATTATATTATATAAATGTATATTCATAGAATTTATATTTATAAAAATAAACCAAAAAAACATTCAAATTGTACAAATCACAATTAAAAATAATAATTTAATTTAATATTTAGACATGCATTTACATTTATACATACATATATACAATTAAAATAACGGTTTGCATTATGAATGAGTCAGCAGGTAAAGAACTTTCAGAATGAATAAAACGTGTGACTTTTAAAACTTCCCTTTGTTGCCACAAGGTGGAAGCAGATGCCAAAAAATAATTTATAAATGTATATATTTATAAATATAATTAATAAATAAATGCATTGCACAAATATCTTTAACTTCATCTCATAGATTATACATTACTTTAAGTATATGTCTTAAACTCAAACATTTCTCACCTTTCTACGACAAATCTGACGAGAAACACATGAGGGAAAAACCTGAGGCATGACTCGAAACTCTAAAAGATAATATTCATCAAATGAAATGCAACCGGAGAGCAGTTTTTGTGGACTCTCTCTGTCACTAATATCCTGTTCTCTCCTGTCATGCCAAAATGAATGAAAGCCCGTCTGGCAGCGTCCACTCCAGCCATAACTCACCTTATATCTGTTATCAAGCATTTAAAAATACAGCTCCTGAGATGAAGAGCATCTGACAGTCAGGGCTAATGATGAAACTTCTGCTCAGACAGTGACCTGAGGACATAAGCGATGTTTACGAGCGAGCTAAATGCTGCATTGTGTAACTCACAATAGACTTTCAAAGTGCGTAAAAGGAGAAAAAGAGTTAAGCATGATACGACGTGAATACTAGTTAGCGCCCATAGCTATATACGTTAGATGTCGCCTACCCTGATGTTGTATATAGGAAGGAATGCGTCAATAGAGTCGCCATTTTAGTACAGGGTAACGCTCCTTAGAAATGAACGCCATCTAGCGGTCACATAATCTAATGACTAAATATTATGACAACTTGATCAACTTCTTTTATAAATATATATAACTTGACATTACTTTTTTCTCACCACCACACTGGTCTTTTTCACATGACAAAATTTAGTTGTTGGAAACTGTATTTTACATAACTAAATTTGACTTTTGCATGCTAAAAGTACTTGAGTAAGAGACGTTTTTTCTTGATTTGGGTCATTAAAAAAACTCCCTATGATGGATGTAGCCTATGCCTGCTGTAGTCAACCTAAAACCTACAGTAGGTTGACATAAAACCAAAACACCCATTCTTGTCTTAGGACATTTTATTTGGCAAATTTTAAATTACAGTAAGTTTATGACATGTTAAATATATAGTATAATTTGCTGGTTTTAAACATAATAATAAATATGAAACAACCATAAGATAACACCAATGTTGACTTATGAAGGTACATTTATAACTATTTATTTGTTCGACTACTGTATTGTCAAACCATGTTGCATACAAATGCATTCAACAGACTTATATGACAGAGCATTGCTGTAGAGGACAAATAAAACACGAGACAGGAGTTTAGAAAGAGTATAGTTTATTTAGTTTGACATGCAAACTTATCTAAACAAGACACACTTTCAGAAAACAGCCCGGAAACATTATAATGCGCGCGCTCGTGAATATACCCCCCGCGGTTGTCTTCAATAGTCCTTCTTTGCTCAACAACTCAGCTGAAAAACAAAGCAAACCATTACAACAGTCAGACATAGAGCAAAGAGCATATAGAATTACCAAGAGGCGACACTCTACAATTTGGGGAACAATAACGCGCTTTTTGAATAAATTAAATAAAAACAAAGCAGCTGCTTTCCATCGCGACAGCAATGACGAGCGACGATATCACTTCAAAATGGCGGAATCCGGGGCTGTTGCTCTTGGTCATTCTAAGCTCTTTGCATAAAGTTAAATCATAACAGTTACCATGGTTTCTATTTCAAACTATAGTAAACTAAAGTTTGAAACTATAGTTTAAAATAGAAGATGAGTGGACCTCGCTACTCCCACCCACCATAACCCTCGCAGCAAGGTCCCACTACCGGCCCCCCGTGTTTCCCTGAGGGTCCTCGGGGGTTGTTTGCTCCCTGCCTAGGGCTCAAAGGCCGCCTCGCCCCAGGGAGTGCACGGAAAGACCGGGCGCCAGGCCGTGCCAGTATTCACTGGATGTTGCTCGGCGGCACATTTCGAGCAACAAACACGTAATGTTCTTCGCGATATTGCGTTTATGTACGCAAACCGCAAGGAACTACAGTACAGACGGGCCCGGGTGAAGCTTCACGAAGCGGACTTCGTGAGATTGGCGTGGCTCCACTCGTACCGTCGGTATTGAACTCACCTTGGTCAAGTACAAGCAGCTACACCGGGCGAACTGACAACGCTGACAGGGAGCACACGACCTTTATAGGAATGCATATGCAAATTTTTACAAGGCACGTCACTGTTGTCTCGTTGTCATGGCGAGCGCTGAAGAGGGCTCACCTGATTGGAGCACAAAGACTCGGGAATCTACGTCACGGCGAGTTGCCGTCTGCTGTGGATAAAATTATATTCAATATATTCAATATATATATTTACATTTTTGGTGCTGTGTAATATTCTGAGATGCAGTAGAATATGGAGACAGATGAATATAATTGGATATATGCCGAGCTAGTGTTGTTTCCATACTTATAAACTTCCAGTGACCGGTTATTGTGAGTTTTTTTTTTCCACTTTATACGGTTCCTTTTACAGCATCCATGTTGTAATGTAATTAAAATACGTTCAGTTAAATAAACTTTGGCATTCATTTAGTTGTTCAAGGGTAAAACGAGACAAAAGGCCTTTTACTCGCACTCGGCCGTCAGAATCGGCAGACTAGCGCAGAAGCTGGGGTAAAATAAATGCTCATATTATAAAGACATGGCGGGGAAAAAAAATGTAATTTAATGCAGTGCTTCTTGTACAACATGAGACCCACTTTTTATCGGATATCACTCAGCCAGTGGAGATCGCTGATTTTTAAGTAAACAGACCTTAAACGTGCTGATTTTTCCTCTGTCTTCTCTCTCTGTGGTGTGCGGTCTGGTGCAAAATGGCTGCTGTCGCGTCATACAGGTGGATGCTACACCGGTGGTAGATGAGGAGATTGCTACCCAATAAATATCAAACTAGGTAAATTTAATAACAATATTTCCCCTAAATGCTCATTTTGTACTCAGTATGACGAAACACTAAAACATTTATTTTGGGTGTGTACTTTCTGTAGTGTTTTAGGTTGACTTTTCCAATTTCATTAAAAAATTCTTATTTCCAAACTTCTGTATTTCCCCAAAAATTTTATTCTTTGGTTACTCTCTGAGTGTAGATCCTTCTCATTGTAAATTTATTATTTATTTATTGTTTTTTTAAGCAAAATTTAAAACGCTTTCTTGGTGTAAATCATTTAAACTTGTTTAATTTGCTGGAATTCTATTTATGTAACCCTCTTTGTCTCTTTGTTCATATTATATCTTTGTAATGTTCTTTCTTGCATTAAAAAAAAAAAAGTAGATGAGGAGATTCCCCCTATGTGTAAAGCGCTTTGAGTGTCGAGAAAAACGCTATTGAAATGTAAGGAATTATTATTGTTGGTTATTATAAAGCACTGTTCTACCATCATGATATAGCCAGACTAAAATGAAAATCGCATTATTTCGATTAGTTTACACTACAGCAAACACTCCACTCACTGACAAACAGCCCCTTTCATAAAGATTTATTTCACAGGTCTGTCATAATCAGGCAAATATACATTAACATACTAAATATTTGCCTCTTCTGATGCGCCACACGTTAAATAACGCAATAGTTCAAGACACACGTTTGTTTTTTTTTCTACTTAATAGAACGATAACAATAAATCATAACAAGAGCAACAACAACAATAATAATTCATATCAAAAACATAAGCCAAGTTGTCTTTTCTAAAATTCAATATATAGCGACTCTTTTAAGGTGCACCACATAATCGGCAGTTGACTTGTTAAAGAAACTCAACAAATGTTGCACCATGACACTGAAATAGACAGAGACTTTTTGCAAACGCATGTATATGTATATAAGTGTCTCTTTAAGGTCGTCTTCTGGCACTTTCTCTAGAGCGCGTCCAGCTCGGCTGTGTTTCTAAAGTTAAAGCAGTCTGTTTTTGTTAGTTTGGCACACGTCAGGGTGGAAGCAGTGGTAGAGTAGGCTTCTCTTCTTCTGTTTATATCCAGAAGACTCTGATATCTCTCATCTCTCACAGCATCTTTGCAGAAAAACAGCAGAAACCCACATGGAAAGATGATTTATTAAACTATTAAAAGCTTGCCCACAACATCCATGACTGGTATTATGAAACTGAAAATAGAGACGTTTTGCAGAATGCCAAGGCTGCCTAAAGTCAACAAACTGCAGAAATCATCAGTTTCATGCATGGAAAATAGCTTGGAGACTCTATTAATCATCTTTTATACATTATTTTCAACATTTTATTTTAGGTTCAGTTTAGTTCAGTTCAGTGTAATGTAAATGTCACTGCTGAAGGACAAAACACTGAAAAGCAACTCCACTGGTGACCAGATTTGATTCATATATGATCTAACATACAGTTGAAACCAGAAGTTTACATACACTCTAAAAAAAGGAACATAACCATTTAAAAAAAATGTCTGATGGTAAATCATACTAAATGTTTACTATTTCAAGTCCGTTAGGATTACCTAAATGATTTACATTTGCTAAATGCCAGAATAACGAGAGAATGTTTTGGGAGAATTTTTTATTAATTTCTAGACAGTCAAAAGTTTACACACATTCCTTGTTTTTTGTTTTTTTTGCTTTGCTTTTAAACTGTACAACTTTGGTCAGATGTTTTGGGTATCCTTCCACAGGCTTCTCACAACAGTTTGAAGGAATTTGGGCCCATTCCACCAGACAGAATTGGTGTAACTGAGTCTTGCTCGCACAAGCTTTTTCAACTTTGCCCTTAAATTTTCTATAGGATTGATGTCAGGGTTTTGTGATGGCCACTCTAAAACATTCACTGTGTTGTCCTTTAAGCACATTTGAATGTATGCAGTATGCTTAGTGTCATGGTCTGTTTGGAAGACCCATTTGTGGCCAAGTTTTAATTTCCTGGCTGATGTCTTGAGATGTCGCTTCAGTATTTCTACATAATGTTCTTTCTTCATGATGCCATCTATGCTGGGAAGTGGACCTCCTGCAGCAAAACAGCCCCACAACATGAACATGTGCTTGTAAGCTTTCCCCTTTGTGCTCCAAATGTAACACGGGTCATTATGGCCGAACAGTTCAATCTTAGTTCCATCAGACCACAGGACATGTCTCCAGAAATTATTATTTTTCCCAGTGTAGTTTAGCAAATTGTAACCTGGCTTTGTTGTTGATTCTGGCTTGTTGATTTTCCCATGCTGTCACACAAGGAAGCAGTGTGTTTGAGGTTTTCTTAAATACCATTCTACAGCTGTATGTAATTGTAATTGTATGTAAACTTGACTTTCAAGAAAAGTTATAACAATTTCTCAAAAATATCTATTCTGCTATTAAGCAGAACAGAAACACATGTGATAATCCTAACTTAATTAAAATTATAAGTTTAGTCTCATTAACATCTGATTTAAAAAAAAAAAATAATTATGTGCCTCTTTATAAAGTGTATGTAAACGTTTCAACTGTACGCAATCTAACAAAATCTGAAAAATTCTACCTGCCACATGTTGAGGTTTCATAGGTCCCGCCTTCATCATGAACGGTTCTCCTCCCTTGAAGGCCATGATTGGGTCAGCAGGTTGACTCTGCCCACTGTGATTGGACAGCTTGATTATCTCCTCAAAGTCTGCTGCGTCTCCATTGGAG